GGGGATGATTCCTAGGGGAAGGTGAGAGCAGGCAGGGGGATAACTTCCAGGGGGAACCCTTGCACCAGGGCATGAAGGTAGGTTGAGAGCAGGCAGGGGGATAACTTCCGGGGGAACCCTTGCACCAGGGCGTGAAGGTAGGTGTATTGCCTACCTGTACCTTCCCATCACGACATAATGGTGAAAGCGGTATCCCTCCTGACTGCTCCACACGCAACACAGTAGATATATCGCTACTCTAGCGTGTCCGCCACGATGTGCCGACTAGTTCGTTCGCGTGTCGCCTGTCGGCCGCTGCGCGCTGAGACAATGATCCTTCATTGCAGGGTGGCGTCGGCGATGCGAGAACAAAGGCAACGCTCACCGCGTACGTGGCGACGTCGCTGATCGCCGCGACGATGCCGGCTGTGCAGGAGCCGATCGCGGCAGCGCTGAGCTGCATCGAGCGTGAGAGCTTCAGTGATGCCTACACGCTCGCGCTGGTCGCATACATGTACGCTCGCCACGGAGACAGTGCCAGGAGCGGCGAATACCTAGCCAGGTGCGTGTGTGTGCGTGCGTTTGTGTATGTGGGGCATGGGTGTGTGTGCGTGTGTGCGTGCGTGCGTGCGTCTGTATCAGTCATCTTACTTTAATGTCTTGTCTTAATTTTCTATGTGGATGTTGTTGTTGCTGCTGCAGTTATTGTCATGGTTGTTGTTGTTGTTGTTATTGTTGTTGTCGGTGTACCTAGACAAGTGTGTTGCTGTAACTGCTGCTGTCAATATTGTGTGATTTTTCGTGCCTAGGTTGATGGATCTTGCAATAGAAGACACCTCACTGAAAACACTACACTGGGAGAAGCCAAATGCAGAAGTCGTTGACACATCGTAAGTGTGCCCACAAATTCTACTCGTTCTTCTTACATCTCCCAGTTAAGATAGGAACCTTGAATGAAAAAAACCAACATGAACCCACCCAAACATATAGCAGTATGCATACATGCTCGCAGATACCCATTAATTACAAGCTCAACTACATTGGTTGCTGGCCAGAGCTGCACGACACTATTAAACCAACGTTGCACTCTAACACTTTTTGTTTATCGCTTTTCGCTTTTACCTGTGTAGTTTACTGCCACTATACGTCACGGTACTGGCATAGGTAGTTGATGGGCAGGGTATACCGTCGTCACACACGTACCACCACCCTGTTGGTCTTGGCAGGTTGCACTGGAACCCTCAGTAGTTAATAGGTGGGGTCTACCATCATCACACGCGTACATTTCCGTTGGCAGGTGGCACTGGAACCCTCAGTAGTTAATAGGTCGGGGTCTACCCCATCAAACACACGACAATTTCCGTGCAGTTGCACTGAACCCTCAGTAGTTAATAAGGTGGGTCCTCATCATCACACACGTTCATTCTCCCATGGCAGTGTTGCCAGACTGGAACGCCTCAGATAGTTTAATAGTGGGGTCTACACATCATCACACCCACGATACATTTCCATTGGCAGGTTGCACTGGAACCCTCAGTAGTTAATAGGCAGGGTCTGCCATCATCACACACGTACATTTCTGTTGGCAGATTGCACTGGAACCGTCAGGCGGAGAAGAAGGCGATCAACCCACGGAATGACGCGTACGCATCTGCTGACGATGACGCTGCTGACCGATGGCGGTGATCTAACGCGCCAGCTGTCCATCATGCGCTGGCTCACCCAGCAGCAGGACTCGCGCGGCGCATTCGCATCCACACAGTGAGCGCGCACGCACGCCACTCACAACGCACGTATGCATGCGACCACTGCACTCACACGCGACACTAACACATCAGCCCATCCGCACCACGCAATGCACGCATACGCAGAAACTACTACCGCAGAAAACGACACACATCACCACGCACACACGCAAACACCAGCTCCACGCACACAACACACTACACACACACACACACGCCACGCAACACACATGCAGCGCACAGCAGGCTGCAACAGCACGCAAACACACTCGGACGCACACACACACACGTACGCGCATGCACGCAAACACCCGCACACACACACAACATAGCCCTCACACTACGCATTGCATGCACGCACACACACCACACTCCACCGCAGGAACCCGTCGGTGTGTGCACATGTGCAGGCACGCACCGATAGTCACACTTACGGCGGTGTGTGCACGCGGGCAGACATACATGGTCCATAAGCAACTCATAGCACGCAATGCAGGCACCAAGCGCGCCGGCTCAACTGATGGATCATACATGCTTGATATAGGTACAAAACTACATGCATATAATAGTTCTGGCAGCATATACGAACTTAACCTCAATGATGGGTGCGTATTTGTTAGATACATGGCAGCAAGCAGGCATATACGGACATCCAACACCAATCGATGGCGTGTTATATGATTTGTAGCGTACAGGACATCCGTGATCAGGTACTGCAGCACTCTCACAATTCGCCAGCCTCTCCCACGGCTCAGGCGGCGTTAGGACCGACGTCACAATCGCAGAAGGGGGCGCCACCGATGCCGTCGTCCATGTTACCAACGACAACAGTCTCGTCCTGCAGCAGATAGACGTCGCAGCTGTTCCCGCCCGCGTGGAGGTCACGGCGACGGGGTCACGATGTGCCATAATTCAGGTGGGTGCTCCCATTGCCGGGGTTCGAAATTAAGAAAACCCTACTCCTACTTCTGCCTCTGGGAACCGTGACAGCCAAAATCTACTTTTTCGGGAAGGGTTTTTTAGGGTCTTCCAGGTAAAATTAATTGCTTGCCAAGGCAATTATTACGCATGTTTTGCTGTGTGTTGGAAGTTCTATTTATTTATAAGCGTCTATACTTTCCCTCTGGGAGCAGTGGGCACCAAAATCTAATTTTTCGGCAAGGGTTTTAGGTCTTCTGGGTAAAATTAACTGGTTGGCGATGCAATTATTACGCGTGTTTTGATGTTTGTTGGAAGTTATATTTATTTATAAGTGCCTATGCATTCACAGGGCAACGTCTTCTACAATGTATTTGTGGAGAAGAGGAGGGTTGTGACGTTCCAAGCCACCATTGCATCAAGACCTCAGGGTGCCGAGTGTAAGGCCTGGACAATCAATGCCTGTGGGATGTAAGCATGAATGAGAGAAAGAAGGAGGGAGAGAGGGAGGGCGAGAGAGGTCACGAGAGAGAAGGGGAGGGGAAGAAAGTTGTACTATTCTAGATTTCTAACTGAGAATGTTGAGATAGAGAGCTACTTATATACTACTATAGATTTATATATACAATAGCACTATATTGTGTTGGACAGTTGTTTTTCTTGCCATAACGGTTATACATGTGGTTAAACAGTATGTATGGAAATTTAGGGCTATATACAGGTACATATAGCATCTAATTATTCAGGTATATTATGTACAAGACCTGCAAGGTTGTTATCATGTGATTGCATACAAATATATACAGGTCTATTAAAAAGTGATTTCAGAGCTATGTACAAGTATTTACATATGATTATCTACAGATATTCTGGGGAGGAGGATTCCAACATGGCCGTCATCAGTATCAAGATGGTTTCCGGCTTTTCTCCCATTAAAGCCACACTGAAGAAGGTTATTTGCACATTCTTGTTTTATATATAATAATTAATTTGCCATCAGTAATTCCTGAAATGCTCTGCTTTGCTTATGTAACCAACATGGCTTTTGGCTGAATCGTTGCTATTGGTTAATTGCTATACATTTCTTGCTTTTGACATTGAGAAATTTGCTAGATCTATTTGGGAGGAACTTGCCCACTGCTGGTGTACAATCTATGTAGAAGAACTTATTCACTGCCAATATTCCCTGTTTGGGAGAACTGGTGTGCCCTCTGTAGCAGTAACGATGTCATTAATGTATGAATTGTTCTTGGCGTTTTATGAAACGCAAGTCGCAGCGAAAAAATAGTCACACATCTGTGATGAATGAATTAATTTGCGTGCTGTATTTCAGATATTTGAAAAGCTGGACCCGAATTCACCACTGAAACGTTACGAAGTGAACGGCAAGTCGGTCGACATATACGTTAACAAGGTATAGCTGCCACCAGCTGGCATATGTCACGTGTGTCACAGCTACTCCCCTTCCCCTACACACACCATGCATTGTCCAATTTAGATATTGCGTTGAGCACTGCTGGTATAGTGTGAACCTTTAAAAACTAATGATATTATCAGGAGTGTATAATAATATCAGAAGTGATTAATAATAGTTTATTTTATTATTTAACAATTATTCAACAAGATTCACTGAGCCTGAGGCGAATAATTGTTTTAGTATTATTGCCCGAGTACTTTACATCTTTGGTACTTTTGGGGACAGCATTTTCTTTAAATTTGTCAATTTCGGATTCCGTAACATTTACAAATCTAGCCGCCATTTTTGGCGCCACTACAATGTAAATCCTAGAGGTGATTATCGAAAAATAGGATACTAACAATTATTATTCACTCCTGATAATATCTATTATTATATGCTCCTGATATTATGAGTGATTCGACAATATCTACATATGGCTCTTGCTTCTGGTTATCAGCCCATCACCCACCACAGGGTTCGATTCGCTGGGGTTTTCACTAAGATTGATTCTCGTGGTGTCTATGAACTGTGTACGTTACTTACGTGTGTTTATTGTTTACTGTAGTTCACGCCAGGAGAGCCGATATGCGTCACATTTGACATTGAGAAATACTTGGATGTAGAAGATGCTAAGCCATCCACCGTGCGGGTGTATGACTACTATGAACCAGGTATGAGAGTGCGTGCGTGCATGCTTGTGTTTATGTGCTTCGTCGTCTGTAGCGTCGCGAACGTAGCCGTTCGGTGCGAGCCGTCTGAGAGCATGGCGTAGCTTGCTGTTTGATGTATCGTGTTTATGTGTTCGTGTGTGAGCGTGCGTGCTTGCGTTCATGTGTTTGTTTGTATGCGTGCGTGTGTGCGTGCATGCGTGCGTGCGTGCTAGTGTTTATGTGTTCGTGTGCATGCGTGCATGCGTGCGTGCGTGCTGTGTTTTATGTGTTCGTGTGTGAGTGTGCGTGCGCAATAAAACTTCCTTGAGGCAAGAGTTTGATCACTTGATGTTGATTAGAAGACACGAGGTGCAAAGATTATATTCGGTTTAAATTTTGGGATCCTGGTAAATCAACCTTCTCAGTCCAGGAAAAGTCCTGGGAAATGTTTTGAATTCGGTTTATCAACCCCCGTGTGTTTGCACGTGTGTAGGCGTGTGTGCGTGTGTGCGTGTTTGGTGTGCGTGCATGCGTCGGTGTACTGTAGTGAATCTGAATGATCCACATTCAGTTCTTTATTACATTCATCGATTTGCTTTCACTGCTTTTGCTCATTGGGAGTGAAGACTGACTCGAGTAGGGTCTCGGTGATGTCAGATTCACGAGTAAATTGTGTTTGTCTTGAAATTAACACAACCTGATAATTTACTTGCCTCTGTATTAAATTTTGCAGAAGAGGCAGTGTCTATCTTATACAACATAGGCGAGTGCAACTAAGGCAAGCGGCAAACGTCAGAAACTGCCGAAGCAGTAACATCAGCATCAGCAGCAACAACATCATTATCATCAACATCAACAGCAGCAGCAGCAGTAGTAACAGCAGCAGCAGGAGCAACAGCAGGAGCAGCAGTAGTAACAGCAGCAGCAGCAGCAGCAGCTGTGACTGTGACAGGCATTACATAGTTGCAATGAAATGATATAATATATATATATATATGTGGTTTCTCTTGGAATTGGGATGATGTGTTGTGGTCAGAATGTTTATCGTATTTTATTAGGGCTCTTTTATTTCAAAAACTGCAATAATTACCTTGATTTGACAGTTGACATAGTTCTTTTTGGTCTTTCTTACAACGTCTCGTAGTCAATATTGCTATGTTTTGCCAGATTTCCATCATACGTAGAAGAAATCAAGAGGAAATGTATATGGTGCGTAATATAAAATGTCTCAATTTATCTACAGATCTGTAATTCCATGAATATATACTCGTTTTTATGGTCTGTTGACTTGTCTAGGTTGGTTGGTTTTATGGTAGGTGGGTGTACAAAGATTATTTTATCCAGTATTTTATTCAGTCGTGTAGTGACCGCACTCGGCGTTTTTACAAAGCTTTTCTACGAAAGTTTTGGGTTTTCCAGTAAAATTATCAGAAAGGTATGTGACTGCTACGCACACGTTTAATTCACGTGCTTTATCGCACCAGGTGGCGCACTTGGCAGTGTTAGACACACGGCAAAACACAGTGAAATTGTCATAAAAGATATTCCCCACCGTAAAAGTCGATAGTTACTGTCAGTTTTATGATTGGTTTGCTTGTCTCGAAAAGAGGAACTAACTCGTCCCTGCATATAGGGTGCGGTGGTCAGTGCAACTTACGATGAATGCTTGCCATTAAAATCTTGACGTTCCATGTGCTTGCAAGAATAAAATCGTAATAAAGAACTTGTTCTCTACATACTGATTTTTTGGCTTACATATTTGAGTTTTTGCGCTATCACGTTTACATTATCGCGAACGTGCACCCCCTCTCTCCTTCCC